CGAGCGGAACTTCAGAAAATCCTTGCGCATGTATCACTGCGGTGAGAGCACCATGTAGTCCTCTCTCGCACGGCCGAGTTTTTGAAGAGTGTGGCGACGACAAAGCATGCGCCGCGCTGAGGCAATCACATTATTTTCGATTTTGCGCTATCCCGCTGCCGTTCTCTCGCGACCCGGCGACCGAAGACACATGCGCTGTTCCGGGAGGAGGAGGAGGAGGAGGAGGAGGAGGAGGAGGAGGAGGAGGAAGGGGGGTTTGGCTTGGCTTGGGTTGGCCCTAAAGGCAGTCGTTCAAAACTAGCCCCCGAAGAGGGACCCCTCGTCAGAGCTGGGGTCCTCGGGAGCCTCGGCAGCGCGCTGGACCGCCCGCCGCCCCAATTCTCGCACGGCCGGCAGATCGCCAGCCTCCAGGCCGAAGGCTCGGAGCACCTCTCCCCGCCCGCCCGTCCCGACTCCGCCCCCCGACGACTTAGCACGGGCAGGTGCCTTGGCTCGGTCGGCCCCTGACGCCTGGCTGGCTAGGCTGCTGGGCAGGCTCGCGCAGCTGGCAGCACGCCGTGCGGCCGCTCCAGCTTCAGGTGCTTCACCCCGTGTCTGTAATGGGGGAACTCACCCTTGGAAATCCTCCTGAGCTGGTCCTGGGTCCCACTCCGAACGTGACCAGGGCAAGCCGACAAAATCGCAGGCGTGGCCTTCCCATCGGAACACACTGCCCCACAGCGGCAGCAAAACAGGAGGAACCGCACCTTCGGGTTCGTGCCTTGAACTGAGCACTGCAACAGCAGGTGTGCTCGCCAACGAAAACTTGTTCGAGAGAACTCCTCCCACCCAGCCCCCACTCCCACGTCCGCCCCCAGACCCTCATCTTCCTCGGGCGGCTCCTGGTCGGGAGCTGCGTCACCATGCCAGGCTTCCGAGCCAGGTGCTTCGCGACAAGATCCTCGCTCCCACTCTGTGGTGAGGCCTGCGTCCACCTGCGCCCTAGTGCAGTGCGCATTAGCCTCAAACGCGTGGAAGTCAGAGCTCTGGAAAGCACCCCAGAATTGACCCCACGGGTGAGCTCGCATATTCGACGACCCCGACCCCCCTCCCTCCCCACGCCGAGCAGTGCTGACCGTCCCAGCGCAGTCAACATACAGAGAGAAAGGGGGCATCGCAACTTGCGTCAACATATTGAGAGCGAACTCCTCAGCGTCCCGAGCCTGTTGCCTCGGCGCGGCAGCACGCGGGACGGGCCCAAACGCTGCCGCCTGCACACGGCCTAGACTGTCTACTTGGACAACAGACCAGCCCGCACGGGCCAGGGGCAGTCGGCCCAACGGGCCGAACCGTCCGTAAAAAGAGGCCCGCTCAGTAGGCCGTGCCCTGGCTTGTTGTGCCAGCTGATGGTGACCTCGGGCTCCTCTGGGACCTCAACCAAGGCTTCTGGGCTCGGGAACAAGCCACGCGCGAACCTCTCGCCCTCGTCGAAGCCCCAGTCCTGAACCTTGCGGGCCCCTCTCATCACGAAGTCCGAGACACCTTCACGACGATGAACACATAACGCTGGGCAGCCGTAGGCCCTGTGCCAGAGCGACCCGTCTGGGTCTCCACATAATAGGCACGCCCCAGACTCCGCCAGCCCATGCTTGAAGAGCCTGTACTGAGGCCAGTGCCCACCAGGGATACGCGACCTGAGGGACCTCTGGTGCCTTCTCGTCCAGCCCCTCCCCTCCGACACCTGGTGCAACAGCGGGGTGAGGGCTCTCCAGAACAGCGGGGCACACCACTTAGCTTCGAGCTCTCGGACTCTGAGGCCCTGTCGGTTCGAAGCCCGCTGGGCCCCTTCCTCGGCCAAGGTCTTGACAAGGGCAGGGGGGATCCTTTTCAGCTCGATCTTCACGCTCTCGTCCGTGGCAAGGGTGTGGCATTCGTTAAACTTCCAGCCGATCCTCTCCAAGCTGAGGACGGCTACTTCAGCGGGCGACGCAGCCGCCGCCCACGGCGACGACAGGCTTGCCATCCTGCTGCTCGCCGCGTCTAGGCATACCTGCAGAACACCTGACTGCGGAAACGATTCCCAGATCGCCCGCGCCCACATAAAAACGATCTGGCCGATATTCAAGATCAGGGGGTCCATCCGAGGGCCTTCCTTGAAGCTGTGCATCCTCAGGCTCACCGTAGTCCCTTTTGGTACACGCCTCAGACTGCCCACGGCTCCAAGGCGCAGTCCTTGCATGTGAGGCGGCGGGATCCCCATGATGCTGGACCCCCACAGGGCCGAGGCCGTCGGGCCCGCACGCTGGACCCACACAGTTTTGGCCCCGGCCCTCCGAAGATGCTGCAACCTCGACGTCCTCCTCCTCGCTCCTTCCCACCTAGCTCTGGCGACTCCAACCCGACGACTGGCTCCCAGGGACGCGTCCGTTCCCAAGTTACGCGAGGAGGTGACCCTGGCGCTTGAGGGAATGCTCCAAGCCTGCTGCAGCTTCTCGTCGAGCTCGGAACTGCTGCACAGATACTTCGACTTCGACGAGACGGGCAACCCCAGCTGCTCGAAATTGGCGAAAAGGGATTCCGTGCCGCTTGCCAGCTGGGTCACTACCACATCTGCGGGGGCCACGATCTGCAGCGCGACGTCGTCTATCACATTGCGGATCGCCAGCTGAGGAGGGCCAATATGCGCGTGAGACAGAGGACTCAACAGAAGAAGCCGTGCTAGCGTGGTCGCTGCCGAACACCCTGCAATCACCCCTCCATTAGCCTCTACCTTCCTGGACACACATCCTTCATAATGCAACACTCTCTCCGCCGCATACGTGGTGCACAACCCTGCCAGCAAGGAGGAGCGGGAGGAGGAGGAAGATGAGGAAGAGAAAGAGGAAAGGGAGGAGGGGGATGGGGAGGATGAGGAAGAGGAAGGGGAGGAGGAGGAAGAAGAGGAAGAAGAGGAGGAGGAGGAGGAGAAAGAAGAGGAAAGAGGGGGAGGAGGAGGAGGAGGAGGAGGAGGAGGAGGAGGAGCAGGAGGAGGAGGAGGAGGTGGAGGAGGAGGAGGAGGAGGGAACGCCATATCCACGCGAGGGCTAGGGCGGCAGGCCGCCCGCTCGCGCATGTCGGCGGGACCTCTCAGGCAGCATGGCGGCTGTGGCCCTTCGGACTCGTCGTTTTTCAGGGCCGTTCGGTCGTCGCGGTGTAGCAGGCCAGGTAGGGCGAGGGGGCCTCCTCCTCCTTCTCCTCGCCCTCCTCCTCCTCCTCCTCTTCTTCCTCCTCCTCCTCCCAAGTAAAGGTGAGCCGGGGGTATGTGACGGGCCCGCACGCGCCAGAGTCTCGGGACATCGCAGGTCGAATGGCCCTTCTGGACCCTCGGAATCAGCTTCCCCCTAAACGGCTTGTCTGTAAGGATCCTGTTTCTTTCTTGTAGAATCGGGTATAGACAGGACCCCAGGTAAGGGGACCCGGTTAGTAGTAGAGCCCTGGAACCCTTAAATTGGCCAGAATTACTAAACGAGGTCTGCCGTAGCTGGTGTTTTTTCGAGTGACGGCAGTTCCGGTTAGTGGAACTGGGCGGGGGGGGGGGGGGCGTCCCCCAGTACATATCACTAAACCAGGCCCCACTAAACCCAGCTTTGCCAACGCCCGAGGAGGAGGAGGAGGAGGAGGAGGAGGAGGAGGAGGAGGAAGAGGACCCCCTCCCCCTCCAACTTACGGTGGTGGTGGTGGAATACAGGCTCTAAGGATCCTGTTTCTTTATTGTAGAAGTCTTTGTTTGAGCCCTTCTTGGGGCTGCTCTGAGGCGTCATCGGTCGCTCGTGGACTCCTGTGGGATTGCTCTGGTCTCCCGTGGTCTCCCGCACGGTGCTTCCGTATGGTCTCCCACGTGAGTTCCCTTTATGGCATGCCGTAATGTCTCCCTCATGGTCTCCTTCACGCATTACGGTCTTCCTTACGGTCTCAGCGTTCGGAGGTGGGGGGGAAACTACAGTCCCGACGTTGCTGTGGGTAATCCATCGCTTCGGTGGGCCGGCGGGCAAGTGGGTGTGGCGTCGGCGCCCGTGTTCTTTGGCTTGCTACCAGAGAGCCCTATGTAGCTGTGGCGGCTCCAGGCTAATTACGTGAGCCGCCGCTGTTCTCGGGTTCCGGCATGAGGCTGTGTGGGCCGGCTGCGTGTGAATTCACACAGGCACTTTGGGCACCCTCCTCGGAGGTGGGCCGCGCGCTTCGCGCGCGACTAGCTCGGGTGTTCTGTGCCGGGCAAATATTCCTTGCGGTCTCCTCGATGGTCGCCCTCATGGTCTCCCGCAAGGTGTCTGCGTGTTGTTTATATTTGTCTTCGTTATCTACGGTGCTCTCTCTTTGTAGCTCCCAGTAGTACTTGAAGGACCTGTTTGAGGTCTTCAGCGGCCAAGGGTCCAATGTTTGATCGAATGTTTGAAAACCGCATGATCGTCGCGTTGCAGTAGGCATGGCGACTGGGCCTTTGTAGGGAGAACCGCCAGGGGAAATATGACTGGCCGGGTAGCGCCAAGATTGACGGGGCCCCCCAGGTACAAAGACAGGAGGCCGCAAGAGCCTTGGGAGGCTTCAGGAGGCCGCCCCGGTCCCAGGGTATTTCCTGATAGTTTGGGGCATCAGCGTCGAGGATGTCCAGCCGCACTAGAAACGTGCGGCGAACTGTTCCACAAGTTGCACCACCCTGGGGCACGTATGGGCTGTCACACGTCAGCCTGTGCGATGCGCACTCGGTGCCGTGGGGAAGTTGGACTTCTCTTTTGCGGACTGCTCACCCACCGTCCCGTCATATGGGGCGCTGCGGAGGCCGTGTGAGCAGGACAGGGTGAGCACGGATGGGCATCATAGCCCGCTCCCTTTCCAACGGAGTTCATTGCAGGTCCCGTTAACACTAGGTTTTACCATATCCTCTTCTCATGGCGCCCACGCGTAGCAGCCTGGCTGCGTAGCACCTTGGCATATTCCCCGTTTTCTCCTCACGGGCCTTGGCTGGCGTTCTGCGGGGCGGGCAGGTCGACTTCTTGTACGTCCGGCACGAACGGGCTCCCGCCGCCCCCCCCGCGCGCGCGGGCAGCGGGCAGTCGACAAGAACATCAACATCCGCTGGAAGAGGAGGGGGCGGATGGGGGAGAGGGAAGGACGAGGGGGAGGAGGGGGCTTGGACGATACCCGGAGTAAGCCCTGGATGGGTCAGCGATGCAGCAAGGCAACCTCCCGGCCAAAGTCCTTTTGCACGTCCCACATGTGTTTTACACAGGAGGGTTTCCCTTCAAGAGGCGAGCGCTGCGCGGTGAACCATTCGGACGAGAGCTCCGCTTCGAGAAGGCGTCGCCCTCAGCCCATGCAGTTGTAAGAGACGCTGTTAGGTAGGACGAGCAAGGTCATTGGCGAATGCAGCTACAGTCGGACCGAGGTACAAGATCGAGCTCGGTTTGGGGAGGGTACCCTAGTGCTCTTCGGCGCCCTCTCACCTAGAGTCTCAGTTTTTCCCCACCCACCGTCTGCCCACCCTTCACACCGCGTGCGCCAGACCCCTCAGGGTCCCGGGAGTCCCTGAGTATCCCACCTCGCGTCCTCGACGAATGACGACATTTCGCATACCAGAAAGTCCAATTGGGGAGGCGTCACGGCGCATGAGCAAAGAGGCGTTAATGATCGGCATCAAGAACATAGCAACAATAACGAGCATGCATTTGATAGCAATGATAGTGTGACAGATCCGAACAGTATGCATTACCATACCATGTAGTGATTTCATAATCACACCACAATATACCGCCTCACAACCTACGAACATACCTTGCCATAATGTAGCAGGATGTTGCTTATGATATCATGTCATGACAAAGTATTGCGTACCTCTCTTCCTGTGACGCCGACGTAAAAAGGAACATACCATACAGTCATACACACTAACTTACCATACGATACCAGGCTTTGTTTAGTACTGCCCGCACTACCGCAATGACCATACCATACAATACACGCATATAGCAAGTGACCTGGGGCATCACACCATAACGTGAAATACGCTCGCATATGTACCATACCATCACATGCCAAATGTCGGTAACCATTTCACGTCACCGCATAACATACCATGACATACCATACCATACCATATTGCAGCATCGTTTAGCATACCATGTCATGGCACAACACATCATCATGCGACTTCATTGAGGCGCACCATACTGCAGAATAGCCGAACATCACACCATATCCCAACATTTTTGTATTACTGTAGTCACGACGGCAACCCGTGTAACATTCTATAACATTATATAGCATGTCATAGCATTCTTGGTTTGGACATAAACCTAACCCATACTACAACATACCATAACATTAGATAACATGCCATACACTTCTATCACAAACTATAGCATAGACTTACCCGAAAAGCCCCTGCGAATCATAACGTCGTACTCCCCACATGGAGAATACAACGACCATCACGTACAACACATGTACGACATACTCAGTACATTGCAGAAAGACGCAGCGCAACAGGGAAGGCTGACAATACTGACTGGTGACTTCAATGCGCAGGTTGGGATTCAGGAGAGCAATGACGACGATGCATGTGACGACGGTGATCGCGACAGATCTCGCAGTATAATTGGGAAGTTCGGGATGGGCAACTGCAACGCCAGGGGGGTTGGTTACGAGCTCGGGCAATCAAGGAGAAGCTGGTGATCGCGAGCACGCACTTTCACAAGCGATCACATCACGTTGTTTTACATATATTAGCCACGGTTCGGACAAGATACGCTCACAGATCGACTGCATCCTGATCGACCAGGCGTGCCGCAACATTGTCTTAGACGCTCGTGCGTCCGCGTGCCCAGACCTGGGATCCGACTACCAAGGTGTTCATGTACGACTTGATGTGTCTGCCATTGCGAGAAGGCGACGACGAAGACGCAAGAAAGCACAACCAACAACAGCCAGTCGACCACCAACAAACGACCCAGCTTTCCAGTAACATCTCGAAGAGGCATTGCAGACGCACTCACACGCGTCGTCAATCAGCGAAAGGTGCACAGACACGGAACGAGCACTGAAGATTGCAACAAAAGCTTACGAGACCCAAGCCGCCCATCCCAACGACTCCCACCGAGCGACCGACCAAGAGCAAACCAAACAGCTACGCGACCTCATCGCACAACGGAGCAAAACACCACGCAAGGACACTGCGACCCGCAAAGCTATCAGCAAGAAGATCTTCAAGGAATGGTGGTCTTTAAAACGGGCTTGACGGCAAGACAACATCAGGGACACCATCGTCAACTGCACAGGCCTCCGGAAGATAGCGGGGATCAAAACAACGAAGCACAATCCATAGTAGCATCAATGACAGGGCAAGACGGCAACGACGAGACCGACCGGCACAGCATTGCTGATATTTTTGTAACGTTCTACGAACATCTTTACCGACAAGCCGACTCCAACAACAGACGTTCGACGCACGGTTGCCGCCCATTTGTCCCTTGCCGCGAAGGCTTGGAGGCCGAAGTGAGGCCGAAGCAAATACCACCTAAGAGCTCAACAACGGAAAATGCAAAGACACAGCGGGAATCACTGCAGAAATGTTAAAAGCAGGCTGGCCGCGCATAGAACAGCACCCCCAATGTTTGTTCAACGACATCACTCACCCAGAACAGCTACCGCCAGAACAGTGGAGGCGCACCACCATCACTGTGATTTTCAAATCAGGAGACGCAGAACTACCGCAAAACTGCAGACCAATTGCAATTATCCCTCTCCTTTACAAGCTTATGTCTCGACTCCTGCACAATCGACTGGGTCCACTGTTAGACAAGCAGCAAAGCGTAGACCAAGCAGGCGTCAGACACGGCTACAGCACCGACGACCACTTATTCACGACGACTTTCTTGCGCAACCAGTCAGAAGAATGGCAATTACCATTCTGGGTAGCAGCGGTGGACTTTAAGGAAGCATTCGACTGCGTCAACCACAAAGCACTATGGGACCCACTCAGAGGGCAGCAGGTGCTGGCATCTTACATAAACCTCCTCAAACAGTTCTTTACACCGACCAGACCGCTACAGTACGGACGGACAGCGCGAGCAGGCAGTTCAACATCCAGCGAGGTGTGAAACAAGGAGACCCACTGTGCTCCCTACTTTTCAACGCACTACGTCAAAGCCTTTTCCGACGCATGAAGGACACATGGCGCAACAAGCAGTTTGGCACACATGGGTTCCACCACAGACGCCCTCCTCACCAACCTCCGTTCTGCAGACGACGTTCTATTGTGTGCGCCAAATTTGCGTCAGCTGAAATGTTGACTGCGCGACCTCCACAATGCGGCCTTGCGTTGCACCCAGACAAGACGAGCATATTGACCAACGTCACCCGGCGACAAGGCATAACTATCATGGCCACTAACGTCGAAGGTGATCGCGTCGAGATTCTGGGCGCAACGCAGAGCGCAAAGTATTTTGGCAGGAAATTTACGCACCAGGATTTCTACATCACGGAGCTCGACAACATAATCGCGCCGGGCTGGCGCCGATTCAACCAATTGAGACACGAATTGTCATGCAAAGATTACCCTCTCGCAAGTCGCCTGCGCCTCTTAGCGGGGCCGCAACGCCCAGTGTCACGCGCGGATGCAGCCCGTGGGCCCGAAAAGACATGCTTCCATTACTAACGCGTTCACAGCGGAAGACGGCCCGAATCGTCGCGGGCGCTGGCAGACGACGCGCGCGAGGGAATCACTGGGAGGACGACGAGAAAGACCTCCAACCTCGCCGTTGCCAACAGGAGGAGGGGGGCGGGGCAGAGCGCGCAGAGCCTGACGGAGACTTCGCAGACAGCACCCCAGACAATGACGACATCACTAAAAACGGCGACTTGGTAACGACGGAAGCGCTAAAACCAGCGACAGCAACGACGGCGACGGCGGTTGCGCCAGCAGCAACGACGGCGACACCAACAGCAACGACGGACTAGAGCCATGGGTGGACATCATCCGAGGAGCGACGCGCGCAGCTGGCGCCCATGCCAGACGCGCGAAAGTCGACGATTGGGCTTCGCACTAATTTAAAAAGCAAAATGGAGATGGGCCAATCGGGTTGCCCTTTTACCCGCCGACCGCTGGGCGCGACTCGCCGCCGCTGGGCAGCCTCCGCTGCGCGACAGCAGACCCGCGCAGCGAAAACAAAAAGCGGACAGCGGAAACGTTGGGACCACGAGATCGCCCAATTTTTGGGCGCCATGGGCATGGTTGACCACGACAAGAGACTCCCCGATCATACTGTCTGCGAATGGTGGTTTGCGCTGGCGCACGATAGCTGCGCTTGGCAGGGCTTCGAGGACCAGTTTGCACGACTCGCCGTCGACCAGCTAAGCGCGGGCGACGCGGACTGAGACGCCCAGCCCGTCCGCCAAGATGCGAAATCGAACCAGAACGAGCTGGGCATGCACACCGATTCCAAGCTTTCGACCTCCACCTCCCGACCCCCAACTCTCGCGTTCACTTCCCGACTTCCAGCGTGCGACATCCGGTTTTTTTTCCACCTCCACCTATCGACCTCCAGCTTCTTCCAGCCGCCACTCCCAGCTCCAGCATCCAGCAATCCGGTTTTCACTTCCACCTCCACCCGTCGACCTCCAGCGTCCAGCAACGCAGCGCTCCGACCTCCACCCCCCAGCAGCACGTGACTCCCCGCCTCCACCACCACCCGTCGATCTCCAGCGCCCAGCAGTTCAGCACTCCGACCTCCGCCCTCCAGCATCCGACTTTCCACCTCCACTTCCACCTGCCGACCGCCCAGCACTCCGACTCTAGCATCCGGCCCCCGACTCTCCTCTTCCGCCTGCGCCGCTTGACCTCCAGCGCCCGCCAGTTCAGAACTCAGCGCCCCGGCCTCGGCGAACAAGCACGACAAGCACTGAGGGCCTCGGCTCCCCCGCGCAGGCCCTCGAGGGCCCCGCTCCCAGCGGAACCGCGCGCTCGCCGCGCCTCGCCTCGCCTTGGTTAGGACAGTCCCATCACCGCGTAGCATGTTATACTTCAACTGCAGTATGATTCGTTCTGCCTTAACATATCATACCATTGTATACATAACACGCTAGACATAGCCGGCACATGCCATATCATACCACATCATATCATTTCGTACTGCCCCATGGCGGGGCATACCAGCCTATACCGGCACCATGGCGGGGCATACCATGACCCAACAGGTGTGTTCCATTCTTACTACTTCTGAGGTAGCGGATGCACTATACGTATCAGGACCAGATATAGGTCACTTGCGAATGGTAATCGTGCCCGGACCGAACATACCATCCTATACAACCACACAGAGACGCATGCAGTGTAGCCGGGCTGAACATGTTGTAATACACAAACATGTTGCATCGTATTGCGTATCCAAACGAAAAGTACATGTATATATTTTTGTTGACATTGCATCAACGCGCGCAACCTAGCACGCATTGAATCGTTTGTAACATGACAGCCATACCATTTTGGCCTGTTCACACAAAGTGATAGTGCAATGCCAGAAGCATAGAGCGAACAATCAGAATGTCTTGGTGCGCGCGTGATCATCATACCGTACGGTAGCATGATAAGGTCGTAGCAAAAGGCGACCTAGCCGATCACGACCGCCTGCACCATAGTGCATGAACGACCATACCATGCCCAAAACGTAATCAAATGTTGTTGGGTAATGTGATAAAGAAGAGTTTAACTTAGTCTGACATATCAGGGCACAGTGTGATATACTATAGCAGAAGGGACCATAGCATAACACCATGTTCGGGAATATGTTCAACTTGTCCCGGCGCGAACGTTGTTGGATATTGCAAAAATTAATGCATCATCGACCGATTCAAGGCGTCCTATGGTACGGTCGCGCTTGCCATAAGAACAGAGAGCCGCTGCAGCGGCCGATAGGACGAGGTATCAAACTTCACGGGCGCCACGACGTAACAACGGCTCGTCCATATCGTAACACTGCACGAGGGACTACCGTGGTACATCACCGAACATAACGTGACAGTGTACTGCAGCAGCGGCCGAGTATTGGCGTCTTGTCAAACGTGACTACTCTGAACTCAGTTTGAAAACAATGACAGTGCCACAATCTGGACCAAACGCAGACGTTTCGGTGGGACATTCCCGAAACATTTTTTTAAAATTAATGTTGATGGGATATAAGTCGACGATTCCACCACGCCCTCCGTCCTTGCAGCTGGTGGATTGTTTTTTTTTGGTCGCCCAATCTCGAGCAATCCCAGACGAACACCTTCTCTCACAAACATGCCGACCTCAATCGATGCAACGGTTTCCGTACGTTATATGCGTATAATTTTATAGTTATTCTTGCTCTGTGTAGGATGCTGATGTTTATTTGCGAGGAGAAGGTGGTATTATATGACAATGATGATGAGGAGGGGTCACATCGTGCTTTTGAGGAGGCTGAGGGGGAAGAGGATGATGATCCCCATGCCATGGGAGGAGGAGGATGCCAGCGGGAGGAAGAAGGCGGGAATGACCAGGCGGGACCAGGAGGGCGGAGGAAGAGGACCGGGACGAGAGGGACCTGGTGGAGGATGAACGGGAGGAGTTTTTAGGGAGAGTCCCCCCCTTGGGTTCTCCGTCCAACTAGTCCGCCCGCGGGAGACGAGCGCCTCCTCCGGCCGCGTGCAGGAAGGTCTGCTCCTTTTTTTTTCCGTGTGTTTTGCTGGGTGGCTGCCTCGGTTTGGGGCGTGGTGTGTTCGGGGTGGGGATGCGTTCCTCCCTCCTCCCCCTCCCTCTCGCGGCCGCTCCTCTTTCTCCTTTCCTCTCCCTCTCTTTTCTTCTTCCCTCCTCTTTCCTCCTCTCCTTTTCTCTTCCCTCCCTCCCTCTTCCCTCCAATGACTGCCTCTGCCGCGCTGCGACGGAAAGTGTGGGGTGGGGGTGCGTTGCCCAGCCCGTCAGGTCAGAAGAGAACGTGGAGGAGGGTGCCGAGCAGGAGAGAAGGAGGGGGCAGAGTGGAGGATGAGGTGGAGGTGGGAGGCAGGATTAGGACGATATGATGGCGATGGTGGTGTTAATGTTGTGGAGGACGATCAATGGAGAGGAAGCATGTTGCCAAATAATAGTTTCCAGATGTATAAAACATGGATTAAACATGTGAAGCAACGTGTTGAACACGTGTTTAGAGCATTTTTGTCCGACATTGTAAGCACATGTTTCATTCGATGATAGGATTGTTAGGGTGTCCACTGTCGTGGCATCCACACTGTGAATGCTGAGGGCGATGATGAGGATGACGACGGCGAGGAGGAGGCTTGGGATCAAGCCAGGCGGGTCGGCGCGCGCCGGGCGAGGTGTTGCTGTTCCTGCTCGTGACGGAGCTGCTGCTCGAGGCCCCCCCCCCCCGGACCGCTGCGGCGGGAGGGCCGCACCCGCGTGGATCACTTGGTAGTCCCCAAACTTGGTGGTGACAACACCTGGCGGTGAGTCTCGGGCGATTCGGTGTCACCACCCGGTTTGGGGACTCGTGCGGTTTTCCGAGGATGTCCCGGACGCTGGTGGGTCCAGGAGTCACAAAACCCGGTGGTGACCCCGCGTCCCCAAACCCAGCGGTGGCCTTTTTGGGGATTCCAGGTCGCCACCTGGTATCTCACCACCCGGTTTGGGGGTTCCCAAATCACGGCCCGCCCCCTCCTACAATGGAGGGGGGAGCTGGGGGAAAGGGGAAGGCAGGGAGGGAAGGTTTCGTCCAGAGTTGTGCACTGCATGGGCTTTCGGCCTCTGCAGATGACCCACGTTACCCAGGGAGGGAACTCGAGGGGAGGGACGGAGCATGGTGCTGCATTACGCTGCTGGTGTGGCAGTGCGCTGCATTGCGTTGCACTGCCGTGCACTGCGCTCCACTGCTTTACAGGGCTTTCCATTGCTCTGCTCTGCGCTGCACTGCTTTGCGCTGATTTGCACTGATTGCACCGCGTACGTAGATTGCACCACATGGATTGCATCACCTAGATGCCACCACGATGATTGAACCATCTAGATTGCCCCGCCTAGATCGCAAGAACTCACTTTGGGGGGGTCCATGCTGGCTGACATAAATGGTACTGCATCTACACTATGACACCCTTGCGGAAGAAGTTCCCAACTGGTCTTACACACGGGTCACGTTGGGGGTCCACGTTTGGAAGCCGCGATGAGAGGATCGGGATAGGGATACCAGTAATAGTAGTACTATCACGACCACCAGTGCCACCACGATTAGTAGCTGTATTATTACTCGCAGTAATTCGCATGTCATTTAATAATGCGATTTTTAGTGGCAGCAAGATGAATGCGCACACGCATAATAATACTAGTTTTATGAATGCGGCTAGTAAAACTTAAACGCATACTCCCGTCCATACGAGTGCAAGTGCTAGTGTGAATGCGAATTCCAACTTGTATACTAACACTTCACCATGGGAATCAGCGGGATGCAACGGGATACAACTGGAGACAACGTCGCGTCCCAAGAGGGCCCCAAGACGGTCCCACAACGCCCCATGATGGACTAAGGGGCCCCATAGCGGACAAATCGCCTCCCAATTTCGCACGAAGAGAGGCCCCAGCGGCTTGCGAGATCGTCCGGTACACTCCCAAGAACGCCCCACAGGTCCCAAGGCGGCCGGAGATGGCCCGAAGAAGAGCTCCAGGAGCGCTTTCACTATACTGCAATTGCCACGCCGCATGAAACACCGTACGTGAGGTTGTTTACGCCAGGCTTGCAGATCGCGGGCGCCAGTTCCGAAGAAGCCCGGGAGCCCCAAGTGCCCAGCTTCGCCCGCGCTAATCAGGCACGATGGGTGTCACGACGTCGCGCCGTCCACGGACCAGGCTTGCGGCTCCTTGGCAACTGGCGCCACGCCTCGCGCTCGGCAGGTCCTGTACAACGTGGTCTACGTAATGCGGATGATGGACGGCTCCTCCGTAGGCGGCGGTTTGGAGGAGCCAGGGTGGCAGTGGGAGGTGGCAGTGGGAGGGGTGAGGGATGCATGAGAGGAGGAGGAGGAGGAGAAGGAGGAGAAAAAGGAGGAGGAGAAGGAGGAGGATGAGGATGAGGAGGAGGACGAGGAGAGGGGAGAGGAGGAGGAGGAGGAGGAGGACGAGGAGGAGGACTACGACGACTGGAGGGATGGATGGAAGAGGAGGGGGAGGAACCCTCTCCGCTCTCGGACTTTGCAGGTCCAAGCGGAAATCGTGTTTCATGGGTTTCTACGTCGTTCTGGTATGTTTCAGGGCTCGAGCAAAACGATGTTTTGGCGATTGTGTGGACCGTTTTCGTTTTGATGTCGTTTCGCAGCAAAAGGAATATCGACATAACGAAAGAGAATGAACACACAAAACCCACACGAACAACACTGTTTAGCTCGAGCCCTGATGTGTTTGGTGGCGTGAGCTTCGCGAAACGCACGGCTGCCGAATATACGTCTTCGTCGCTGGCGCAAGGGCATCTGCTAGGTGCTTCCTATATCACGTAGCACTTGTTCTGCTTGTTCTCAACTCTGATGACGGCACATGTGCGACGGTTCTTTGCGACAGCACAGTGTCAACCCTCTGCAGTTTTACAGCATGTGCCGCCATCGAGTGTGAATTTTCGCGGAGCCCGCAACAGCCAAGAAACCCTCCTATGTGCACCATCTATATGGTAGCAAAAAGTCACAGTCGCGATGACTTCATATCGTTTGTCCATTCTAGCAACTACTGGTTCTCCGGTTCCGCCTCTTACGTTAGCAATGGCAGATATCCCACACGTATCTCAGCATCTTTTAGGCGAAGACCACATCGTGCAAACGACAAAGCCCCCCGTCACGTGATGATGTTTGCCGCAGGAGAGCGAATCACGAGGAGGCTTCGGGCGCAGTGCCTGGCCTGGCCTGAAGACACACTTCTGGCGGTGCGACGGGCGGAGCTGCTTGTAAGGAAGAGCAATCCCGAGGGACGGAGGAGGTCGGGGGGAACGACCTAGGAGGGGGAGGAGGAGGAGGAGGAGGAGGAGGAGGAGGAGAAGGAGGAGAAGGAGAAGGAGGAGGAGGACGGAGGACAAAGCAGGAACTTTGAAGATTGAAGCAATGTGGACGAGGACGGAGACGGCAAAGTGGAGGGACTCCGATATATCAGTTGGCCCCTCCTGCCTCTCGGAGGGACGGGGGTGCGCCGCCAGCGGAGCTGGTCGCGATGTACAGCTTCCGCATCTCCACCCGCTCTGCGGAGGCCCCGGGGAGCCCGCCGCCCTCCCGGCGCCGCCCTCCCTGGGAAGGGCCATGAGCCAGGGGGATTCGCGCGTGGACGGAGGGGAGGGCGGGGGGGTAGCACGAGCATCAGGAGCACGAGGAGGAAGGATGGCTTGAGGAGGGGAGAACACATTGAGGGGGTTCGGGATAGTGTGGAGGAGGCCTCTGGCTATCTTCCTCTGACTCCGCCTCTTCACCCTCCTTTTCGGACACTGCTGGGACGTGGTGTGCTAGCACGAAGCGTTCTTCTTCACCCCCTCCCCCGTCTCCTCCTCCCTCATGACTAATCTGGTTTAAGCAATGTGCTTCGGAACGCTCATGTACGGCGGGCCGCGTGCGTGTCGCTGTTGAACATCTCCGCCCGCCATGTATGTATGTAGATATGCATGTATGCATGCATGCATGTGTGTATGTACGGTTGTGTGCATGCATGTATGTATGCATGCCTGCATGTATGCATGCACATGTATGTCTGTCTGTCTGTATGTATGGATGGGTGGATGGTTTGATGGATGGATGGTTGCATGGATTCATGTATGTATGTATGTAGGTAGGTAGGTAGGTATGGATGAATGGATGGATGGATTTATGCATGCATGCATGCATGCGTGCATGCACGAAAAACTAGAAATATTCAAAACATAGTCAAATCATTCAAACATAGTTTTTGTTTTAAACACCTCCCCTGACTGTTTTTGTTGAGACTATGTTTGAATGTTCCTCCTGTAGAGGGGCAGGCCCGACTTAACCGTAGTGTGATCCGATCGTGGCCTTCGTGGGCATCTTGCGCTCGGCTGGCGAGAAGCTTGGGCTGGGCACCAATGCCAGCTTTCAAAGTTTCAACCTACTTTAGCCTTGATCGCCAGAGAATTCTGAGCACCAGGAAAGCATCGAAACTGGACCGCTTTCACCTATCGGACCTTGGGAGGCGATGCTCGTTCGGCATTTCGCCAGCGTGTCGGGCAACCACGGTTCCGATACTTTCCGGGGTGCTCGACATTATTTCTGGGATGTGGTCTCTAAGGTGCGATGTGAAGAGCACAAGGCCAGCTCCGAGAACGTTCGCTGAGATAGTTGTGCGACAGGGGCACGATGTCGGCGGCGAGCGAGGGGGGGAAGTGAGAAGGGGCGGGCCTTCTCAGAAGACTCGGAAGTCCCACGGCCTTCGCCTTCTGAGAAGGCTTTCTCCTTCTCTCTTCCCCTGGGCGCGCCGCCGAATTTGGTTTCTGTGTCATACCACGGGTCTCCGGCGGCCGTTCGGGACGATCCTGGCACCCCCGGAACGCTCTCGGCGAGGCGCAGGCGCTGGAACGCGTCCCGAGGCAATAAAACCGCCGAGGACCGACGAAAACGTCCGAGTCCCTCGAACCTCGAACCCGGAAATTCTGAAACGTCCCGCCGAGACAGGGGCTGCAATATTCCAACCTACTTCAGCCTTGATCACCACAAAGAATTTCGAGCACCAGAAAAGTGCCGCATCTCGAGGTTTCTCACGTGTCGGGCCCTGGGAGACTTGTCCGACATTGTTTCGACACTCTTCCGACACTCTTTCGACACTTCTCCGGGTGCCCGAAGCTATTTCCGGGATGTGGTCTTGAAGTTCGATGGGGGCAGCGTAAGACAGGGGCGCGATGGCTTGGCCAAGGACGGGCCAGCGCCGCGCCAAGGGTGCGCGGCCGCGGCGGTGCAGCGGCACCGGCCGCCCTTCGCGGCGCACGGCCGCCCTCGCCGCGCGCGTTGGCTGCCCCGGCGGAGCCTGCAGGGCGTGGCCGCGGGCGACCACGGCGCGACAGCCGCGCAGTAGCTCTGTCAGAGCCCCGAATCATCAGGGGTAACTCGGGTCAGGGATAACTCGGGTTCGTTTTTCGGGAATCCAAACCCGAGTTACCCCGGACCCGAGTTACCCCGGATAACTCGGGCGTCCAGAGCCCCGAATCATCAGAGATAACTCGGGTCAGGGCTAACTCGGGTTCCTTTTTCGGGAATCCAAACCCGAGTTGTCCCGGACCCGAGTTACCCCGGATAACTCGGGCGCCCAAGTGTTCTTCGTGTTAGTTTTTGTTCGTCTTTGTGTTTTCCTCTTCGTTCGTTTCCGTTCGTCGGTTCTCGTTTTGGCTCCGTGTCGTTGGCTTCCGTGTGGGTCTCTTCGGTCGTTTCGTTCCGGCCAGCCTCGGTTTTCGAAGAAGGGAAAACGCCATACGCGTAAGAAGTTTGGGCGCTCCGTGCGGATTTCTCGGATCCGCGCTGTGCTCCCCCCGGCGGCGCCTTCTGCGCGCTCCGCGCGCCAGGGAGGGGGGTCCGGCGCAGATCCAAGAAATCCGCGCGGACCGTCGGAGGTTGATGTTAATGTTGTTTGTTGTTTTTTTAGTTTTGTCTTCAATCCGTCTCAACGTTGATCTCGCCTCACATGATGGACGCTTATGCGTGTTCTCAAGTGAGGATGTGCAGAAGGAGGAGGGTGAGGAGGCCGCGCGGCAGTCACATTATGTATAAACTTTACCAGAACGCAACTACCAGGCAATGCCCTCGCCCCCATTCTGTTTTCCCCTTTTCCTTTTCGAAATGCACGTGACGTCATCTTGGCATCGCTCGGACGTGTGCATTTTTCCTCGGCGAGGACCATGGAGGAGCATCCTGGATGACTTAGCGAAAAAAGTACGCACGAAATTGAAACATACACGAGGAATGGACGTGCGAGCGATGGCAAGTCATTGTCCCACATGAAGGAACCTTTGCGGAGCGCTGCTTTTGGCCCAAATGCATTGCATATTTTCCTCCGCGGGCAAAGCCACTTGGCTCCACCACTGCGGTTCTAGCACCAAGCAGACGGTCCTGCAGTCGATAGTGATGTCGTGAGACGTGAGGGGGTTGGCTTCACATCGAATTCGCATGTCCCCAATCATCCTTCCTCCCTCACCACCCGCCAAACCACCCCAACCCAACCCGAAGGTCTCAATTTGCCCTCCATTTCCAGTTGGGGCGGGGGGGTCGGGGAACACTGAAAAAACACATGGAGCCCGTACCCCTCCCAACCCGAAATTCGGGTCAAATTTGGGTCTTCGGCTTGGGTTGGGGTGGTTTGGTAGGTAGTCACTCCCGCCCATTTGTCATCGGCAGGCCCCTCATCACCTCCGTCGTCTCATGCATCATCCATCCAAGACGCATTCGTTCCGCAATTGCTTCACTACTGAAGCACACGTGGCCCCTAGTCGTTTCACGTTGGGTCCACACTTGACCCACATTAGTGGCTCTTGTGACGTGCAAGTGATTCACGAGGGGTCCCACATTGAATCATTCGTGCATCCTTAACCTTATGGCACAACGACGGCGCGCGAAACCGACTCACACTTTCGCGTCGTTTGGGGTTATTCGGGGGCTCCAGTGTGCCGTCTTGGCCATCCCTTTTGAGGGATGGTTGATTTGTTCCATCACGGGCCATCTTGTCTCCTTCATGACATATGTCCCTTGTCTGTTCATGGGCTATCTTTGGCAGTACTAATGATTGCTTCTGTCATGCAGGGACTCTCTTCAGCTGTGTTGGGGCCTCCTTGAGACATCTACGTCTCCCGATCTTCCCCCGCCCCGTCCCCTCCTCCCTCCTTCTCTTCCCTCCTCCTGTGCATCCTGATCGTGACTCTCCTGCTCCGCGTCCTGCTCCTCCCTCCTCCGCCTCATCTGCCTCCCCTCGGTGTCGGTCCAGGTCCTCTTCTGGGTCGTGTTCGCCATCCAGCTCGTCTACAGCGTGGTGTACTACGCTGCTCCGCCCGAACACTGAAACACTCTTTCCTCTCGCCCTCCCCGCCCGGCACAGCCAGTGCGGTGAAATGGGGGCGGGGCACCGGCCGCTTCATCCCGAGGATTGGCCGGGGAGGGAGGGATAGAGTGGGAGGGGAGGCGGAGAAGGCGGATGAGGAGCTGAGCTCAGGTGGAGGAGGGGGACGGGGAGGAGGAGGAGGAGGAGGAGGAGGAGGAGGAGGAGGAGGAGGAGGAGGAGGAGGAGGAGGAGGAGGAGGAAGGGCTCGGCTCCTCCATCGCTCCGTCCACCTCCCCCCTTGGCCTCCCGATTATCTTCTCCTTCCTTCTTCCCCCCAGGGCCCCTTGAGAATTATTCGGCCATCTCGGGAACCTCTCCCTCCTTTCTCCTGCTGATCTTTTTACCTAACAGCGAAGACTGATAGGTTTCTAGTGGTCTCAAAAGAGAGCATCATGACTCCCCAGGGGGGTCTGGCAGATGCCGGTCGGGTGCCGCGGGAATCCGGGGATCCCCGCGGGAACCCGGGGATCCGCGCCTGATATGGGGGAACTCAGTCGGGGGTGCCGTGGGTGCCCGCCTGATATGGGGGAACTCAGTCGGGAGTGCCGCGGGTCCACGCCTGATATGGGGGAATTCAGCCGACGGGTGCCGCGGGTGCTTGCCTGATATGGGGGAACTCAGTCGGGGGGGCCGCGGGTGCACGCCTGATATGGGGGAAGTCAGTCGGGGGTGCCGCGGGTCCACGCCTGATATGGGGGAACTCAAGTGAGGCTGAGGCTGCGGCTGAGGCTGAGGCTGAGGCAGGCTGAGGCTGAAACTGAGGCAGGCTGAGGCATCCGTAGGAATCCTTAGGAATCCCTAGGAATCCTTAGGAATCCGTAGGCATCCTTAGGAATCCGTAGGCATAGTTTAGCATCCTCAGCAATCCTTAGGAATCAGGATTCCTAAGGATTCCTAAGGTTTCCTAAGCATTCCTATGGATTCCTAAGGATGCCTAAGGATGCCTTAGGAATTCCTAGGAATCCTTAGGATTCCATTGGATCCTAAGGCCGTTGCCACTGCGACTGTCATTGCGAATGCGACTGCGACTGCGAGAACAGCAGAATTCTACAACTGGATTCTCACCTGCATCTTAAGGGGAATGCTTCCAGGTATGCTTATGCACATCGCTGTTATATTGCTTTGCCGGGATAATTTCTTGTTCCCAACCAACCATCCTGTGGTGTTGGGTCTTAGTTTTGAAGAGACATCGCCCCGCGTCTCCTCCTGCTGCCCCCCCCCCTCTCCCCGTCATCAGCATCATCGCCACTATCGTCACCCCTCACACGTTTCGTGGCCCCATAGGGAGCTCCACCGAAGGCCCCAGTGGGGTTGGTCACATGGATTCGCCACACCCAGTGCAGCGCTTCGTGGCCCCATAGGGGGCTCCACCTAGGGGCCCAGTGGGGGTGGCCACATGCGTCCGCCACACCCAGTACAGCGTTTCGTGGCCCCATAGGGAGCTCCACCGAAGATCCCACTAGGGGTGGCCACATGCGTCCGCCACACCCAGTGCAGCGTCTCGTGGCCCCACAGGGAGCTCCACCTGCGGCCCCAGTGGGGGGGGGGCACATGCGTGCGCCACACCCAATAGAGCGCTTCGTGGTCCCATTGGGATCTCCACCAAGCCCCACTGGGGGTGGTCACATGCGTCCGCCACACCCAGTACAGCTTTTCGTGCCCCATGGGGAGCTCCACCACCTAAGGCTCCAATGAGGGTGGCCGCATGCGTCCGCCACACCCAGTGCAGCGCTTCGTGGCCCCATAGGGAGCTCCAACTAAGGCCCCAGTGGGGGGGGCACATGCGTCCGCCACGCCCAGTACAGCGCTTCGTGACCCCAAATGGAGCGCCACCACTTGCGGCGCCAGTGGGGGTGGCCGCATGCGTTCGCCACACCCAGTGCAGCGCCCCGTGGCCCCATAGGGAGCTCCACCCAAGGCCCCAGTGGGGGTGGCCACATGCGTCCGCCACACCCAGTGCAGCGCTTCGTGGCCCCATAGGGAGCTCCACCGAAGGCCCCAGTGGGGGTGGCCACGTGCGTCCGCCACCCAGTGCAGCGTTTCGTGACCCCAAAGGGAGCGCCACCACTTGCGGCGCCAGTGGGGGTGGCCACATGCGTTCGCCACACCCAGTACAGCGCCCCGTGGCCCCATAGGGAGCTCCACCCAAGGCCCCAGTGGGCGTGGCCACATGCGTCCGCCACACCCAGTGCAGCGCTTCGTGGCCCCATAGTGAGTTCCACCCAAGGCCCCAGTTGGTGGTGGCCACATGCGTCCGCCACACCCAGTACAGCGTTTCTTGGCCCCGTGGGGAGCTCCACCCAAGGCCCCACTGGGGGTGGCCACATGCGTCCGCCACACCCAATACAGTTCTTCTTGGCCCCATAGGGAACTCCACAGAAAGACCCCAGCGGCACCGCCCGCATGCGTCGTCCATCACCCAATTCTGCATTTCGCGGCCCCATTGATTGGGAGCTCTACCAAGCCCCAGTGGCACCGCCCGCGTGCGTCCAGATGAACCGGTACAGCGTTTCGTGGCTCCGTGGGGAGCTCCAGTGGCCCTCTCGCATGCGACCCCCCACCCAGTGCAGCGTTTCGTGGGCCCATGGGGAGCTCCACCGAAGGCTCCAGTGGCCCCGCCCGCATGCGTCCCCTCTCCCGTGGCCCCACAGGGAGCTCCACCGAAAGTCCCAGTGGCACCGCCCGCATGCGTCGGCCACCACCCAGTGCAGCGTTTCGTGGCCCCGTAGGGAGCTCCACAGAAAGACCCCAGCGGCACCGCCCGCATGCGTTTCCCCCAACCAGTACAGCGTTTCGTGGCCTCACCGGGAGCTCCAACGAGGGGCACCGCCCGCATGCGACAGCCACACCCTCGACGGCGCTTCGTGGTCCATAGGGAGCTCCACCCGAGGCCCAAGGGGCACCGCCCGCATGCGTCTCCCCTACCCATCACGGCATGTCCCTCACGCGGTTCGTGGCCCCATACAGCGCTCCACCGAAAGCGACACCCACAACGCGTTATTCACAAGTGCGTATGGTTGGGTCCTTCGCCTGGACATTTTTTGTGTTGCTCTCTCTCTCTCTCTTTCTCTCTCTCCCTCCTGGCTGCTGCTGCTCCTCCTCCTCCTCGTCTTCCTCCCCCCTTCATCCCTACTGCTGTTCCTTCCTTCATATTTCCTCCCTCTTCCTGCCCCCCTCTCTCCCGCCTGGCCTCCTTCCTAGGTCGTGGCGAGCTTGGCCGTGTGGACCAAACGCCCCATGCAGTACCGCATGTTCGCCAATTGCGGGCCCGCGCCGCCCTCTCTCCTCTTTATGTCTTCCTTGCGCACATCCAGGGCCCCTTAGACACCTCCAAGGCCCCCTCCACCCAACAACTTTACCTGGCGCGCCAACGGATGGGTATTCTGTGTGTCGACGGCGCGCGTGTGCAATGCAATGATACGCAGTGGGAAGCACGGTACAGCACAGCATTCCATGCAAAGTACCGCCTTGCAAAACATCATGCCATTGCCGTGTGCCGTAGCATTGGTGTGTGCAGCATGCCGTGTCATTGCCCAGCACAGCATTGCATATCGTAGCGCGGCCTCGGTTCTGGCTCCGGCCCTGGCCCCGGCCGCGCTTCCGGTTCCTGCACCGGCCGCATGGCGCCTGGACCCGCGGGTCCGCATCTCTCTCTCTCTCTCTCTCGTTATTTCTCCTCCCACTGTCCTGTTTCATCCTCATCCTCATACTACCCCATCCCCTCTTCTCTTCCTTCTTTCCCTCCTCGCTCTTCCGCCCTCCCTGCGCCTGAAGGAGACATCGAGCTTGCCTGCATCCTTCTCTAGTCTGCTCTCTGCACAGAGGTGCCCCGTGCACAGTGCCGTGCGCATGTGAAGGCATGAGCGAGGAGATCGGATGAAGTCGGGCACGTCTTTCTAACGGAGGAATCTTCAAAAATAGTAAAAAATAGTCGGGGATTATTTATTGGATATTCTAAAATGTGGAATATGTTCTAGATATTTTGTTTTTTCATGCGATATCTGCCTGTCGGAGGACATGCCCGACCTAAAGATAGGAAGGAGGACGGAAGACGGAGGGAGGGAGGGAGGGATGAGGCGGGAGGAGGGCGGAACGATGATGAAGGCAAGCTCGATATGTTCGCGCCATGTTTGGCATCCTACCCCTTACACCCATCCTTTCCCACTGCGATGATGCTTCTATGCCCGCCGATGGGTGATCCATCTGACCAGGGTCGCCAACGTGACCCCCGCGATCCGTCCGCAATCAGGAGGGGAAGCTGCGTACATTGGACGACGAGGGGGAGGTGGCGGATGAGCAGGAGGATGAGCAGGACAGAAAGGAGGAGGATCTGGAAGAATGGTGGTGATATGATGATGAGGATGAGGATGAGGATGAGGATGAGGATGAGGAGGAGCAACTCCATCAGAAGTAGGATGAGCGGGAGGAGCAGAAGGACCAGGAAAAGGCGGAGGAGGGAGGAGGACGGGAACGACGCGGAGGGAGTCGGATACATCAAAGCACGGGATCAACGCGCCGATCTAGAAACGAGGCCATTGCTGCAACGGGAACATCGTGTAGGATAATGCAAGAAAGCGCTCCGATCGGAACGAATCTAATGAAGTCGGGCATGCCTTTCCACAGGAGGAATATCCAAGAAATATTCAAAACATAGTCTGGGGACGATGCTCCTATTACTGTTCGAGGATTTGAATACTTGTTCAAATTATTTTTGAGCTTCCCCCCAACACCGCCTGTAGGAGGACATGCCCGACCTGATGGTAGTCCCCTTTTTGTTTGTTTGTTTGTTTGTTTGTTTGTTGGTTTGTTTGTTGTTTGGGGGAACGTCGTATGCGTGAGGACTGCTTGTAGAGTTGGCGGGGGGAAGCAGGAGGGCGGAGGGGGGAGGACCGACTGCCGATCGGCGCGGGCCCTCGAGCCCCCCACTCCTCCCCCCCCAAAGGAGTAGATCTTGGCTGTTTTGGGCGCCTGTTTCAAGCGGGTGGAGTCTCCCCCAGAGGACGCATGGCTGCAAACAGTCGCATCAAGCAGAGGTCCGGAGCCAGACCCCCCTTCCCCCCCTTCCGCCCAATGTCGAAACGCCGAATATAGAAACGCTCACTAGGAGGAATCAGGAGGGAGAGATGAGGGGGGCGATAGGGGATGTGGAGGTGGAGGCAGAAAGAGGGATGAGCTGTTCTTCCGCATGAGGATAATAAATCAATGATGACGACATGCGATGTGGAACAGATGGGGTGGACAAAATGGGGAACGAGGGAAGGGAGGGAGGGTCAAGGATGGAGCAACAGAGAGAGAGAGAGAGAGATAGCGAGAGAGAGAGAGAGAGAGTGAGTGAGAGTGAGTGAGCGAGCGAGAGAAAGAGTGGGTGCGACGCTGATGATGGCGAAGTTCATGACGACGTCGCTGACGACGTCGACAGGCGCCGACGACGATGACTTCAAAGAGCTTGTTGGAGCGTGCACCCGTACGCGCACTCCCGTCCGCGGCAGTCTGATTGGCATCGTCGGGCTGCTGATGCTTGCGTATGTGGATAAGTTCAGCTCTCAAAATCGGCCCGATGTTGACATCCATTGAGGGAGACCCGTGATCGGCCGAGTGAGGAGCCAGGGAGGCTGGCAGTGATGATAAATAACGGAGGAGGAGGGAAGGGGTCATTCGAGGGAGAGGAGGAAGAATGGAGGAGGGAGGACGAAGAATGGAGGAGTGAAGAAAGGGGGAGGAAGAATGGAGGAGGAGGAGGGAGAAATAATAATAATAATAATGGAGGAGGAGGAGGACGAGGAGGAGGAGGAGGAGGAGGAGGAGGAGGAGGAGCGGTTGCCCGCTCGGGGTGGGGCCCGCGGGGACTCACGCGCGGGCGGCGGCAGCGCGGCGGCCGCCATAGGTGCTGCAGAGGGGGGAGGATACACCCAGACTCCCCCTTCGCTGGCAGCACCTCGCGGCGGGCGGAGGCGGCGCTGCCCCAGGCTGCCTGCAGGCGCGGCCAGACGGCCAAGCGGCCTGAGGCGGCGTGGCACAGACGTGCCAGGAAGTTTCGAGGACACGCTCGACGTATTCTTCGGCTTCACGTTGCTCGCAGCATTCTGAACAACCATCATAGCAGTATGGCGTCGAGAAGCACTGGTACCTGGACTTGCTCAGAGTGTCAGGCTCACAGTGAAGTTGGAAGTTGGAGCTGCAAGGGTTCGGTGCGTGAAATAGAAGAGTGGCGCAAGTGTACTATGACGTGGACGAAGTTCCGACAACGTCAAGCGGATGATAGGCGCCGAGAAAAAAAGACACGTCCACATGCAGATCGGAAGTCAAAACAATTCTGTGCTTTCAAAAGATGTCAAGTCAGACGTACGCTCTCAAGCACCCTGCGTACAAACCACCTCCCGACACTAGGGAAGCGAAGCAGTACAAGCATACGGTCGAAGATCGCATGACGAGCCTAACCGATTTGCTACTTCAAGGAAGGAAGGCGTTGTTTATATACATGGCGGCGCCGGAGCACGAGCTGAGCGTGCCCAAGTGGATGCACTGGCAGTTGGAGCCTCTTCCAGTCCAGCGGGCAGGGGCAAAGGCGGACATGGTGGACGCAGAGGAGAAGATCGTAGCACCAGAGAAGAAGCTGCACAATGTCATGGACGACGTCTTGTATCAAAGAACGCTGCACGCGTACCATCACTACATTTGTTCGCGAAGCTGTGGAAATGGGGCGAGCTGTGACGGACAAGACTTGTGATGATGATGTCGGTCGGTTACGATCGGCGAACGGAGCTGGATGCACACAGGGTCAACAGATCTGGATGCTTAGAAGTGGAGGAGGAGCAGTCACCACCACCACCGCCTCCACCGCCACTTCCCCCAGCTGGACGACAGCGTCTTGACGCGCGCAAATTGACCCCGATTGTTGACGGAAGGTATCCACGTTGTCAGACGTCCCTGCTGGCAGCTCAAGGCCAAGCGGTCGCTCCTCCAAGTGGCCGTGGAAAGGTGCAGCAGTTGGGGCTTCAAAATCCAGCCAAGGACGATGCTCGACGTTGGTCTTCACCGCCCCCCCAGTAGAAATCCGAATGAGGTGATGCCAGCACCGCGTTATATCCGCAGCCCACCAGAGGGACCACCATCTAGGCCCTCGCCTCAGCTGATGAAGGACGACTACGATGGGCAGTTATCGGAGGCAGAGGTTGCAAGGATGCTCGAGCTACATGGAATTTGTTCCAGAGATCAGGGTATTCTTCTGTCGCGCCACCGCCGCCGTCGTCCGCGGCGCCGTCGAGCCTGCCGCATGCCGCGACGATGCGCCCCTCTGAAGTACGGCCACCTCCTGCTCATTCTCGAGGACCTCCTCTGGATGCTGACGCAGCTGACGCGGTCGTCGCGCAGCCCGCGGGCCCTCTGGGCGCCGCGGGCTCCTGCGCAGGGGCCGCCGTTGGCGCGCCGAGCGGAGAGCGTGCCGCTATTGGTTGGGCAGCGCGGGCGGGGCGCGACGGCCGCGAGGGGCGGCGCGCCGGCAGTTCTCCGAGCACCCTGAGGCCCCCCCCCCATGGAGGGATCAGCCACGCGACCGCCCCATGCAAGGCGCGTCGGCCGCTAGCATCGTGGAGGTAGGCAGTCTGGGGCCGTCAGCGAGACCCGTGGTTCGGTCAAGCACAAGAGCGGCGGCGTCAGTGGCAAGAGGGCCAGGGGGCGGCGCGCCGAATCTGCAGGCGATGGAGCAAGCGAAGGCATGCGCTCAGCATGAGCAGTGGCTGCAGGCCCAGAAGACGGTGGCTGCGTTGCGTCGGGCCAACTTGGAGCGGCAACAGCAGTGCATGGCGTTCCAAGAGCAGATCGGATGCTGGGAGGGGCAGGCGGATGAGGTAGAGGCTGCAGCTAGGACGGAGGCTCAAAATCTCCAGAGCAGGCAACGGGTCGTCGAGCAGGCAGCCGCCAACGTCGATATCGCCCACGCCAAAACAGTTGCTGAAGAAAGGCGGGTTGCTGAGGCGAGCCACCATCCTTTTCTCAGAGAGGAGGCCCATGCGAAGATGGCGGAGGAAACGGCATCACGCCAGAAGCTATCATAGCAGCAGATGGCGGCCACGAAGTTCCGCATGCTGCAGCTTGTGGAATTGATATAGGCAATTAGCGACTCGGAATACCAGACAGCCAGGATACAGCTAGCTGTCCAAAGGGAGGGGGTGGAGCACGAAAAGTCTCGGGCAGCGGCGACGGTGCGCGATGCAGAAGGGCGCCGACGATTCTATGAGGAGGAGGTCGCGCAGTTGAGACGGCAGAAGGCGGCTCCGTTACATTATGGGTCTCAACGAGGTGTGTGCGTGTGTGTGTGGGGTGGGGTGGGGGGGGGGGGGGGGGGGGCGCCAGTCTCAGAAGACCCTTGCGAGTTGCATGACAGCATGCCCGGCATACCGATTGGCAGCAATTTTTCCCCATATCCTAAGATGGGGTTCTTGTTCCCCATATCCTAAGATGGGGTTCTTGTTATTACTTGGACGCCTCCTACTCCTCCTCCTTCCTCCTCCTCTTTTCTCCTCCCCTCCTGTCGGACATACTCAGACTTGCTCATGCACAGACGTACTCATACTCAGACTTACTCATACTCAGACCTACTCATACTCAGACCTACTCACACTCAGACATACTCATATACAGACCTACTCATACACAGACTTACTCACACCCAGACGTACTCATACACAGACTCACTCATACCCAGACTTACTCATACACAGTATTAGTCAGACCCAGACGTACACATACACAGACTTACTCATACACGGACTTACTCATACCCAGCAACCTCAAGGGGAGCCGCCAAGGGTGGTTGCACGGGCTC